CAACGAAGCATCATTAATTTACTTATCTTATATCTTGTGCTTTTGCCTATCAATTTTTACTGAATATTTTACTAAATTAAATTTCATAATATTATAACCGTATTTATACAATTTTGAGTGATTTACTATTTTATCCCTGGTTTGTAAGTACCTATAAAGATTCAAAAGTTTGGTTATTATTATTTTTTTTAATTGGATAATTATTATGTCTGTTATGGTTTATAAACTTTCAACATAATAATATAACTTAAAAATCAAATACAAAAATTCAAAAATAAAGGCAGGTATAAAAATTATATTACTTAATTACGTTGTTTTATACTTTAATATTATAACAAAAATTTAAGGATAAAATAAAAACAATAGATACTAAGGAATTTACCTTCTTTAAAAAACGGCTCTGTTTTTTGATTACCTGTACAATCGATTTTTGTAAGTAATTTTCTTTTATTAATGTTCTTCATTTTTGGATTTAGGATAAATAGTTTTTAGTTTGTTTTATACAATACTTTAAAATTGGATGTAGCATTAACTTTGAAAATTACCATCATAAATGTGTACAAACTTTTGATAATTTTCTAAATTCATTCGGACTTGTAGTTTTTATATATTTTTTCAATTTTTGTACTTGTCTTTTATTCGCCAACTGATTTTTTGATTATATTTCAGAAAATTTGTAAACCAAACAATTGTTAGCTTGGTATCTACCAATGGAAGACATTAGAATTTTAGGTATTATAGTCTTATAAAAATAAATCCAGAAAATTTAAAGTATTCGTTAAGCTTGTGTTCTTCTTTACTTGATAGAATTGTATTACTTGTGTAAGTACTTATTCACATCTGGCTTCACTATTAGCATAATTATTTTGATTTTTCTGATTTTTCACAGTTGTTTTATTTACCACAATACAAACCTTATTTCGTCTATTAATTTAGATGTATTACTTTAAAAAATTTTAAATAGTATTATAATTACTTTGTTAAATAAATTATATTATGACTAATTTAGAGGCGGTCTTTGTAAGTATGACGATCGGGTACAGAGTATTATTAAGGTATAAACCATTGTAATGACATTTAGTATAAAATATTATATTACACACAATGGTAATAACTAATAATCATGGAACATTATATGATATGGCTTACTAAAAGTTATTCATACTTTGAACTATTGATATATATATACTTTGTAAAAACTGTATTGTTTTGTATATTTTACTGAAAAACTAAAAGTATTGACAATTTTTTCTGAAGTCAAGTTCTTATTATTAATTTAAGCCGTAAGGCGATGGATACCAACGTAAAATTATTATCTTACACAATTTTCATCTGCATTATAACTGTTTCGTGATTACATTGTCGCTCCAAGTGTTTCATATTGTGTGGTTAGGTAATAAGTTATTGATTTAATGTCTTATATAATATAAGTAATTAAATATAATTTTCCTCTGTCAATATTTTGAATTTGATTTTGTCTCTGGTAGGTACCAAACTATAAGCAATTTACAAAATGTCAAAATGTATATTGTTATTAGTTAAATATACTATTCGTATTATCTTGAGTTCCAAAATTATTTTAACACTGTTGAGTGGTTTTAATAATGGTGTAAAAATACTGTTCCTATGCCCCAAGCTTATTAATAAAGTATATTTTATAATTATTATAAAATTAAATGATAAATTGATATGATACTAAGTTTTTTTTTCCACAATATTAATTTCATTGATTGCATATTTAATTAAATATATTTTAATGAGTTTTTTAGAATGACTAAGTGTTAAATACATGTACCATATCTAAATAATCAATATTTAACTACATAATAGTATGTAAAAACTACTTTTAGTTGAATGTCAAATTTATTTATAGAAATATTGAATTTATTTTTCATAACATTTCATTTTTTTGTGATAAATTACGTAGTAACTATTAATGTTATAAATTATAATGTCAACACAAAAGAACATTTTTATATCCATTTACTATATAAGTAATATAACACATTATGTTTTTACTTTAACTCAACTTGACTACTTCATTAAATCTATAACATACGTATTAGTATTTGATACTTACATGTTATTATTTTAAATACGCAATACCACAAAGTTTATTTATTATTCTTTTGAAACAATGCACATGACATTGTAAGATATAGATAATCAATTTATCCAAATTTGTTATTATATTACAAACGATATTAAATTAAATTAAATTTGAATAATCATAAATTATTTTAATTACAATGAATTTTTGTCCTAGGATAATTTAAAATTCAAGTGGTATGAATAACTTTTATTAATATTGCATTTATACATTATATACAAATAAAAAACACGTAATATTATGATAATTAAGACATACTTTAACCGTCCCTATAGGACTGTCAGTTATATTTACTTGTCACTTCTATTACAGCTATATATAAATCAATATTAATCATAAAATATGTATAATAATAAATTAATTGTATACCTATAGCTTTAAAAATACATTAGAATGAACTAGAAATATAAATTCCTCTGAAAATGTTATCGAAGTCACCATAAAATATTCATAAGATCGAATTTAAATACCACCTAATTTTGAGTTATAAATTATCTGAGTATTATAAAAAATATAATTATACATGTATGTTTATATTTTTTTTTTGACCTATGGATATATGTAGATAATATATATAATTAATTTAGCAAAACAAATAACTACATTCAATGATATTATGCATAATAATAGTAATAACATGTTTGTAACTCTCCTTTAAGTGTAATGCTTGTGCCGAGGGGGGGGGGAGGGGAAGAGTATATAAGTTTTGTATGTACATTATGAAATATGACGTTTTACACGAAGTGATATTTATAAATGATATTTTTAACAAATGAAAAAGTTATTTTAACTAATTACAATGATGAATTTATTTCATTCATATTTTAATTGTATTTTTTAGACTTCAATAAATATGTATTGCTAAAATTATAAATATTGATATTAAGTTGGTTACGATTTTGGGTAATGGTCATGGTACGAAACTTTTAAATGCTAGCGGTTTATTGAATGTTATTACATAAATATTAAATATTTTCTTTATAACAATTATTATAGGAATGATTCACCTTTATCTTAAATCTGTATAAGTTTAATAGAATATTTCTGAAATATATAATTTATGAATTCATGATACATTAGGTCAGAAGTTCCAAACTTGTTGACTCACGGCACCCTACAGTATTTTCTAAACATCCGGAAGCGTCATATATTAGTAGTATATCGTTTATTTTTATTTATATTTTATAACATGGGTTTTCTTTAGCTTGATATAAACACAACAGGTGCATTATATAAACTATGTTATTTTGTTAAACACATACGCTATTAATAATATTAATATTATCTTTTGTAAAATCAATTTTTTTTAATTGTGAAAAATATGTATGATTGCTTTATATTTGAAATAATTTCAGGGCACCTTAGTTTAGAACCTTTACATTAAGTTTGTTCTAAATAAACACATGCATTATTATTGCTATACTACACGAACTTAAACAATAGACATTTGAATTGTCTATATTGAGTACTTTTTAGTCAAAAATATGTGGGTCATTACTCATTACATATTATACTATGTACATATAATATCATAGTGCCAGTGGAAAACTGATAGAAGCCAAGTAGTATTTATGAGTTTATTAATAAATTGCATTGTTGACTTTAAAGTTTAAAAATTATAGTATCGTAATCCTATTAATCTTTATTGATACAATGTGTTATGCAAAAAATGGTCAAATTTCGAATTTGACTGACTTTTTAACTGAAACTATTTGTTTTTAGAGCTAAATTCAATATGTAAACAATAGATAACACTTAATTTTATACACAAATTTGAATTAATGTCATTTACTAAGTAATAAATTATTCGGTGAATTTTGTGTTCCTTGTAAGCAAAATATCTTATTACAGTTAGTTGTATATAGGTACAACAAAAAACGTTTTTTTAATAATATTTCATAAATTTTTGTTCTTGAACTATTTACTACGACAAAACAAAAATATATAGTCAAAGTTTCAAAATTTGAAAGTTTTTTATTAATAAATACATAACCATCGTGATATGTGTATATGTGACTATTTGTATATGAAATACGTAAAAACTTATTCAATGTTAAATCTAAAAATTTGAAACAGAAATACTAAAATGTTTAAGTTGGTTCCTACTTCCGTTATTTTAATTTAAAATATTTTTGAATGAAATTGTAATTGTAAAACTTTTACACTAATAACAAAATTAATTTAATACATAGAAAATTAAACCATTTATATCAATACGATTATTTTCGTTATCCTAATTAATTTATATGCTGTTTTTAATATTTAGCAATGTTTCTTAGCTAAAAAAGGTTTTGTCTAATATTTAATAAATAAGTACCCAATTGATTGGCATAGATGTATTAATGTAGGCACCTGCTCATATAGAATAAACATTAATATAACTTTGTAGGTACCAATCTACTTTAAAGTTTAAATTATGCATAATAATGTTTTAGTCATGAGTAGAATAGATAAACGAAATAAATATTCATATATACCTAATTATACAAATGCTAATTAATTTAAATAACGGTGTTATCGTATATACTCTATAATATACATTATTCTTGACCAATATAAAGTTTTTTATGATATTCTACATTTCTTAAAATATATATTTACTTAATTTTGTTTCTGAATAATGAACACACATTATAACTGATAATAATATTGTATTTTTTTATGAAATATAAATTTCCAATGAACTATAGTACTATACAAAATAGCGTCTTTATAACGATGTCAATTCTTAGCGTGACTTAAAAAAAAAATCAATAATATCCCCCAGGTGTTGAAATTCACAAAAAGAGGCCGATATATGGATTTAAAAGAAAACTGTTTTCTATTCCATTTATTCGGAGGGAGGTAAAAAATAGGTATTTGAAAAATCGAAATCTATAATACAATATAGATGTGTGGCCCGCAGTATGAGTGGTACTTTTTGGTGAATACTGACACTCAATCATCCAAGAACAATAAAATGCCCAAAGAAAAAACAACAAACGTATAAAACTATAAAGTCAGTGGATGTAATTAAAAAAATATTTTTATCAATATCAATTTATTATAACCATATTGAAACCCACAGTCCTATGCAATGTACATTAGGCTGCAGTACATAATATGTTATACTATTGTATGTTTGTATTTTGGAAATACTATTTTCTTTATCGATTATTTTATTTAATGTAACCTGCAATATATAAATCACTACGGTATACAGTTGTACAATATTAATTTTTCAGGGGTATATAAAATATTTTTTTTAAATAATAAAAAAAAATATGTTTTCAACGTACTTGAAGTAAGTTAGTAAATAATTACTAAACATCACTTAAATATTTTATTTTTTAAAAGAAAATATCTAATCATTAAGTGGTTGGTGCACATACGTGATCGCTGACCATTTTGATTAAATGTATTAACAACAAAAGTACTTCTTAACTAATGACTAAACTACAATATTACAGTTAATTGTTCAACAATTAATTTGTTTTAATCAATTATACATTATTGCTATGATTTCAATACACAAATAAATAGTGGTCGCGGGATAAAGACAACAATAACAACAACAAAGACGATGATGACGAAGACGACAACATTAACAACGTCAACGTGGTCGGGCCATGCACGGTGCAGCAGCGTTGGAAGAGTTGCGCGACCAACGGTTGGCTGACGATGATGTTCTTGGCGTACTCGTTTCTGCTAACCGTCCGAGTACATTTCACGTACTCGATGATGGTGATGATGATCTTGCCGCTGGTACCGGAAGCGACAGACCGGCCGCTGTGTCCGGGCGCCATCCTAAACGTGGGAGCAAACTCCACAACCGTGGTGGCCAGGCGGCTGGACTGGACGATCCGAGAACAGGCGTTCACGATGGGTGCGTACTTTTTAGGCACACTGGTGTCCACTCTCCCGGGTGGCGTGTACTCGAGTCGCGGTTACGAGCGCTCCATAATGCTGTGGTCCATGGGCATCACGGCCTCCACTTTGGCACTGGTGCCGGTTGCGTTCGTCCAGTTCAACAGTTGGGTGGCCGTCACGTTCCTCAGGTTCCTGCAAGGGTAAGGTCAGGTCAGATTATTAGCTTAGGTTCTTTCTATACAGGACATCGGCTTACAACATGTGCTACACGTGTGTGTAAGAAAAAAACATATGCGACTACATTATTATAGTATGGGTTGGTATAAGGAAAAGTGGAGGCATTGACCACTGACCAGTCAAAAAGTTAACGTCAAGTTGAAACATTAACGAGGTATTTAATCTACTGATCAACTATCTGCCTTATATCATCGCTTTCAAACTTATATTTTTCTAGTTGATTTTAAAAATAATTCAATGGGTACCAAATTAATAAAATAAATCATGTTCATCTAATTGTATTAAAGTAATGCATTGTTTGTGTGTGTAAGCGAGCCAAGTCTATCGCACTTGTGGTTCTCAAATTGAGCGCATGATTCTATATCCGAGGATGTGCATCTTCAAAGCCAATTTTTTTAATTTCGATTTTAAAGAGAGTCCCCTGAAAGGATTTGTTGGCTCGCGATAAATGTATCATTTTTTTCATAAGGTTTACAGTACGAGGTCAAAAAGTACCGAGACAAATATTGTTACCGCTAATCTAGGCACGATAACGTTTTAAATTATATATAGATATATTCCCTACATATAAGTGAATATTTTAAACAAAACCCAAGCCACTAGTTTATCTCAGTTTAAATTAATATATGGTTAAATCGAATCAGTTTGTTTTGTTTGTTGTTTTGCGATATGTTCGAACAAAATGAAAATCGTTTAACGATTTGTCAATACCTTTAAAATCGTTCTATCGATCCGAATTTTATAAAAACATTAAGCAGGTGGCGAGACATGGGTTTATGGGTACGATCTCGGTCATCTCAGTGAAAAACGTCAAAAGTCAAGACAATGCTGATTGTTTTTTTGATATTTAAACTATTGTTCATTATGAATTTGTACCCCATGGATAAACAGTAAATCAAGTATTCTACAAAGACGTATTAATACGTTTGGGAGAAAAAATGGCAAACAAGAACCTGATTTCTTCACCACGACAATGCGCCAGCCCCTTCGGCGCTGTCAATAAGTGCATTTTTGGCTGATAAAAAAAATTGTTGTCGTCCCGCACCCTCCCTATTATTCTGTTCTGGACCCGTATGATTTTTTTCTTTTCCCTAAACTAAAATGTGCACCAAAGGACAACGATTTCAAGATGTAGAAGAAATTAAAGCCAATACGGCAGCAGAACTCAAAGTCTTAACTTCAGAGCAGCTTCAAAGGACTTTCGGAAAATAGCAAGAACACTGGGACTATTGCATCAGGAGGAGAGTATTTCGAAGGAAATATCTTTAAATAATGTATAACTTTAATATTTATTAAAAATAAGATCCGGGTACTTTTTGAACAGACCTCGTACGTAAAATAAAATAGTTATTATAATTTTTTTTTTTTTTTTTTTCAAGGAGAGAGCCCTCGGCGACATAGGCCATTGGGTTTTTGTGTTGTATAGGTTTGTATTGTAGGTTTTTGGGACGGTAGGGGGGAACACGTGTGTGTTTGATTTGGCAGAATTTCGAATGGGGCACCCGTAGGTTTCTGCCATGCCCCGGGGGTGGGGGATGACAGCACTTGTTCTCCGGTCACAGCGACTTGTCCGGAGAAAAATGCCGCCCGGTGGCCGAGGATCGAACCGCGACCGGCTGCGTCGCAGCGGACGCGTCAGACCACTCGGTCACCTCGTCCCCCAGTTATTATAATTGTATATAATTTTAGACCTATATTTTATATTTTGCCTAAATCAACCGAATGACTGTGCTAAAAATAAAAATAGTTAACATTTAATTGAGTCCATGACAGAGTAAATCCACTGGCATTATCTATTTTGTCTAGTGCAATGTCATGCAGCTTTAGCTAGTATAATATAACCGTACGATATAGCTACTATTATTTTTTAATTCTAACTATGAAATATTTTACTTTTTTTTTAAGCTATATGCAATGATTTTCTAAAAACAAAATAAATATGCTTTCCTTTATTTAATAATTTAGATTTTAGTTGACCCTAACGTGCGATATTGCACAACCTAACCACTACTGCTGGATTTCAACAAGATCAAATGTTAAAATGTTTTTATTTAGTTATTGTTTAAACAATTTAAAAGATAAATAGCTATAACTCCGGTGTGTGGCTTTGGTGGTAATTAAAAAATGTATTAATTAAAAAATGTATTAATTTTTAACTCAGTTAAATTAATATTTTTAATAAAATATAATTTTTATTTCAATTTATTGTTTGTTAACTATAATTAGCTTACAACTGAACTTTCTAAGCATTTTATTTTTTACTGTCTGAAGTTGATTTAGATTGTTTTCATTAACTTTCAGACCTTAGTATTTTATAACCTGCGATTCACATATTTTCCTGTAAGATATATTATTCCAATATTGCATACGTTGTTCAGCACTACAGGTATATTATTGTATGAAATAATCTGCGCATTCCATGAGTTGGATACTTACGTGAAATTCTGCCCATTACTTTAGCTGAGGAATTTTTAATTTTAGTTAATTGAACGTAATAAATTAAAGATAACAATTTTGTGGTGTGTTCGTTCATATAATATAACTATTGCGGATGGGGGGATATGATGCATCTCCGTGGATATTTTACATGGGAAAAATGTATTGGTTTTAGTTTAATTTAATTTAATCATTTTATTTTAATATTACTACGCACAGCTTGAAATGTCATCAACAAAGTTTGTTAGATAAGTGCCTAAGCGCATTGCGTTTGAAGGGACTTTTTTTTATCCACGTCTGTCACAGGCCACGTCAATTTTTATCTTATAAATGCCGTTATACAAAAATCAATTATTGTACTCTAATACAATTCTAATGTATATCATAATAATTAATAACGACTCTCAATAAAATATTAACCACTAATCATAAGTCTGTTGTATTTAAGTGTTTAAGTACTGCAGTTTACGTTTTTATAATATTTTAGTAGATTTAAAGTTTTTTGATATTTTATTAGAAGTAAAATTAATTTTTAACATATAGATTAAACTAATGTTTCAAGTGTTGACTTAGATTTGAATAATACACAATACATCAAAAGTTATCAATATGTTGAAGTATGTTGAATAATTATCTCAAAAGTTAAATAACTAGAGATTTTTTTCATCAACATTTAATCATGTGTGGAAGACATAATTTGTATTAATATCTCATGAAAATGAATACAGTATAATATCAATAATCAGTCATCAACTATCAATTAATTGTATTTATGTTTATAATCATATAAAACAGTTTATTAAAGTTTATCCATTTCGTAAACTGATTTAATGATGCGGGAAGTGCAACAGGCTCGTGCATTTATCGGGCCAGGTAACTTGATTTTTTCTGAAAATGTGATATCCATTACAAATATTTCAATAAATGATTATAGGTACTAAATGGCTACATTTGTTTATGAACAAATTAGTATTACAATGTCAATATTTGTTCACTAAAAATAAAAACTAATGCTGATTATTTCATTCCAAGTTATAAGAAAATGTGATATTCATTGTGGGAAAATTATACTATTAATCTTTATAGAGTTCAAATTATTTTCACCAAACTCAAATTTTTCACATGCATTGAACTAACCAGTATGTAAACTACACTTAGGTGTATTGTTGTATTACGGAGGGAACAGAACCACGACCGCCATGGCCATGAAATGCCTATCCATGACGCCGTGTCATCATAATGTTATTTTATCATTGAAATGTATAAGCAATATTTAATTCAAGTCATATCATTTGAATCCATCATTATCTATCCTTGGCCGTGCTTTAAAAGAAAAATCTTTGAGAGATCTAAACCACACAAACACATTATTGTAGATTGTATTTTTTACACCAACTCGAAAATCTATAAATATGCTCTAAAAATTAATAAAACAACCCAAGACTTCGTTGTATAAAAATTAAGTTAGTAGTTTTCGATGTAGTTTGTTTTTGAGTTATAATAGTATTACATTTTTAAGTATAGATGAATGGAGTGGAGAGTATGGGTACCCTTTATAATATTATGATGGTACATTGTACGCTAATCTAAACTTTAAATTCGTATAACTAATATACTACCTTCTTTACTAAAATTTTATTTTTATAGATAAAAATACTTCAAGTAATATTCTATTTGATATTATGAAATTAAAAAATAAAAGTCGTTATTTGCAAGAGTGAAAAACTCAATAAATAATAGCAATAAAAATAATATAAGGACCATTGTTCTGTAAAGACTTAAAATGTTATTGATTTTATGTTATTAATTTTTAAATGATAGTGTTTTTGAAATAATAATTGTCTTATGTTAAATGTATCACCCCGTTTATAAATAGAAGTTATGTCACATTACTTGGTAGGTACCTACATTGATACTAAACAAATTAAATAAATAAATAAGGTTTAAAAAAAATTTAAATTCTATATTTTTGTGTTTCCACAATTTTTATTTTACATTTGCTTCCTTTTCAAACTCATTCTATTTTCAAATCTTCAACTTCAAGTATTATAACAAAGTATTACTAACAAAATTAACTTGAAACTGATCGACAGAGCAATTAACTCGAACGAAATCGATTAACACCGAACTAGATTATATGTAGGGAGAAGATAATGCATTGATGAGATAAACGAAAACATCTTTATTGTACATAAGTGATTACTTAGGTAACTGTTATATCCGAAGATAATTTCATGTATTATTTAATAAAACGAAAATAGAAAATTATAGTTTCCTGTCCGTGTTAACAAAACAAAATGACAATATGGTTTCCAACTTTTGTCAAAAATATATGTTGTGTTAGGTAATCGAAAAACTCGAATAAACTGAAGAAACCAAAAAAGTCCTAAGTTAGAGCCTTTTCGGGACCGGAAAATTACTGTTCGCATTATCCAATAATTCGTGTTAACCGGGTTTGCGTTAACGAGGGAGTACTGTTGTATGTAGGTAGCTAAACGTGCGGTCGAGAAAACACAAATTTAATAGG